TTTTCCCTCACTTCAACAATTACAAGTGAAAAAGAAGTGACTTTCTCTGCTCCCACAGTATCGCATCCTTAGCTCAGATGAAAGCTACATCCTACATACACGTCTCACTGCTTTTCTGTCTTACATAGGGGTAATTAGTAAGTTCATTATTTTCAGCAGAAAGGAGGCCAAGCACCAGAGGTTATTGGATTAGCTTTACCACATTTATCAGTGTTAAGTTTTATGTTTGTTTCTGTAGTTTGAAAATCAAAGGAATAGAAGTCACAGACTTTTTTTACCCCCACATAATTTACTGAGTGGTGTTTCTTTTTCTCAAAATGCTTGTTTGTGTAAAATAACTTCTTAGAACGACATGAAATCTGAAAAGATTATCCCTTAAATGAATGATTGTTAATTAAAATCCAACACAAAACACGTAATTTCCCTTGAACAAGCAATATTACAGAAAAATTTACCTTAGACAAAATTCTTTCACCTGTTAGAAGACACTTAGAAGCCCATTTCACTTAATAAAAAAAATCATAATAGTATACACACACACGCGTGTGTGTGTGTGTGTGTGTGTGTGTGTGTGTGTGTCAGTGGCAGGAAAGGGCTTCCATTCTCACAACTCAACTTGGAGTATTTCTTTCAAAAGTCCTTCAGATGCATTTTTTCCTTTGTCAACAAACACTGAAGGCTGTTTAACATCTGACAGAGTTACTCCAGACTAGTTAGCCTGGGACCAGTGAGTTCACATATTTGAGAGCACACAGCAGCAGGTAACGCATCCCTCATAGACGGGATGTAAAATCAATTTCCTGCCACGAAGCAGGTCAGTGATCAAAGACCTCTGCTGTCACTGTTAATAGTTTGCTGACAAGAAAACAACAGTAACAAAACAGAATCCTATGAGGACGGATGTCTAATGTTGTAGAACGTCAGCCAATTAAGCTTCAGAGTTCCTTTTACATGCACTGGAGCTTGTGTAATTATCACACTTTCCTCAATTTTACTTTAAATTATGCATTTTGTAGTGTAGATGGGCCGTTATTTGTGGGATTATACATTCATTAATCCTACGGTGAACGTTTTAGTCCTTTTGTCTCTGTATAAAGCAGGAAACAACCCTAATTCATCTTTAAAGACAATGAAGAGCTGCCATCATGAGAATGAATATGGACATCCTGGTCATGCATCTACAGACCTTAAGTAATGTTTTGTAGCATCTGTTGTGAACTGGGTGGTAAAAAAAAAAAGCTAAACATGACTTAAAGGTAACATTAGTTTAACTAACAAGGTGAAGCTCTATCAGAGTTTTTCCTTTAGTAAATAAACTAACACAGTTCTTGTCTTAAACAGTCTGCATCCCTAATGAGACAATACTACTGCTAAAATGCAGCATCTGCACCAGAGGAGTTGTTGTTTTTAAAAAAGTGCTGTGCATCAGATGCTTTCTTTCTGCACAACTGTACCAATTCATTTCATTATCATGAATATTAGCTTGCTTTTAGATTTTCCATTTAAACACTTAAAGGTGCATTATGTAGAAATGAAGTAAAAATGACACCCTGTGGTAAAATATGGTCACTGCAACCACGGGTTGGTCTGGAGCTTTTTGGCCAGCCATCGTCAAATTACAAGTGTCGATGCTGCAGTATTAGCTCGCAGGAGACACGGCAACCCCACACTCACTGATGGTAAACAATAGTTACGTCCCTCCTTCCTTTGTTTTGAAAATCATAACAATCGGTTCTAAAATACAGGGGAGTGGGTCTAAGCTTAGGCTACATTCACACTGCAGGCCTTAATGCTCAATTCTGATTTTTTGAGTAAATCAGATTTTTTGTGTGTGGCTGCTCACATTATGGTTGAAATGCGACATCAAACTCTCTCCAGTGTGAACGCTTCACAGCCCCAAAGCGACCCACATGCGTAGAAGACAAGAAGTCAGACTCAGTGGAGTTGGAACCAGGAGAGGCAGAGTTGTGATGTGAAAGCCTTCACTGACTCATCCACAGGATGATCACACCTATCACATCTTCCATTTTGGGCTGGAGACTGTTTTAAAATCTGTAAACTATTTTACTTCGTATTCCCTCCATCTCCCCAAATTATTATTCACAGAGACCCCCCCCCCCCCCCCCCCCCCCTGTACGGAGGCTGAGACCGGTGAGACGCTTTGCTCCAGCAGCACCTCCCACTCCCGTTCTCTAGCCTGGCCTACCAGACTCCCCCTTTGTTTAATTCTGCATAGAGAGAGGGTCTGGGAACTCTCCAATTCAAATAACCCCACCCCCTGAGAATTCTAACCAAGCCAATCAGCGCTGAGCAGTGTACGTTACACACCACAATGCCAAGTCTGTCGAACATTGCAACTGAAGCGGAGTTTGCTGTGGCTCTTTCCTTTGTTCTAAATGACTTTAACATCTTTAAAACAACATGTAGAAGTGCTAAAAGCATTTCGTCTAAAGAAAGATGTTTGCACTGTCGCCAGACGCCATTTTTGACTACAGCTAAAAAACTACAGTGTTGAGGACGTCCCACACAGCAACGCTCAGTTTCTCATAAACAACGAAGACAGCGGCGGAGTACGCTGCGGCTCTTTCCTCTGTTCAAATTTATTTATTTATTTGAATGTCTTTAACCCTCCCTCTGTCTTTATGGGTGACCCCGTTCCACAAAAATTAACAATCAATGATGAACAAGAGTCTGCTTCAAGACCTGCAGAAAAGGGACACAACAGCAATACAGAAAGAGCAAGCTATCACTGCGTCAACTTGATGAAGAAATATATAATCAACATTGTTTAACTGAACAATCACGATAATAAATCACAGTGCATTTAGTGCCCACCATAGCCTTAAGACGTGTTGAACGTGCCCAAGTCCATACTAATGAGAGCACCATGTGAGCACCTGTGTGTGTACGCACGCTTGTTTATGTAAGGTTTCTCTATAGAAGCGTCCAATAGGGAGTGTGAGGGGCCACAGATCTGTCCCCCAAAGATACGTAGGAGATGGAGGGAGCTCCAAGTCCCAGAGATCCAGGAACTACTCTAGAGCACAGGGACCTAAAGCAGACTGACCAGAAAAACCCCTGCCCCCCTCGAGAGGCGCAGAGGGTCGCTCCGGGGGGCCACAACCAGCAGCTGGCAGAGTCCTGGGAGCGGCAAGCCCACAGGCCCGCCCGCAGCCTCCCGCCCCCAAGCCGGCCGAGCCCGGGATCCAGTGACCCAGGGGCGACCACCCCCGCCGGGGACCCAGCAGAGCCCAGGAACCCAGACCCTACCAGGCAGCCATCGGGATTGACCAGGCAGACGCAAAAAATCTTAAACCCCCTGACCCGGGCGCCATGAACACTCAGGCAGACCAAGGCACCACACCCCACACCAGGTGTGGCAGGGGGAGGGGAGTCGAAGATGTATAGCATCAAAAGAAGTCCCAGGAGAGGGAAGGAGTGAAAGGCCCCACCTGACATATACAGTCATACACAAACACAGTCACACACTCCCTCCCTCATGCTCACACATACACATACAACCAAAGACTTACAAAAATGCACGCCGGACACCCACTCATGCTCCCCATACACACCCTATTCACTCTGGTCCCGGTACTGCTGCACACAGGGTACAACCATCACTGGTTCCCAGAGTTCGACCCTTTCTGCTGGGGTGCTGATGAGCAGGCTCCCCTGCGCAATGCCGAGCACAGCAACCCACCACCCCAGACCCCAACCAGACGGCCAGATCTCCCTCCTAGCCTCCAGCCCCGGGAAGCCAAGCAACACCAGAGGTGTGCTAAGACCCCTAGTCTCCCTCCGCCTGCTCCAATATAGTGTTAGTGCGTGTTGATGAAGGATGACAATATTTATAAACACAAGGACACCACATTTAAATGGTAAATGGTTCACTTTCAGCTCAGAAGGAACTTAATGCATATAACAAGACTCTCTGGCAGTCATCTGGGTTTCTTAATATCTGTAATTCGGTTTCTAGTGTTAAAGACCAGTGTGTTTCCACAATTACCACTCTTTTTTTCTTAGCGGGGGAAATTAAAATTTTTTTTGCACACATTCGCTTCAAATGAGAAAGATTCTAATTTTGTGTGACAGACAATTTACGGATTATTATTGCTATATATCTCATCTCCTGTGAGGTCGGAGCCTGGTAAACCTGAACTAAATGTAAAATTAACTTTTGCTGCAAAACACATGCACACACAGTCAAGCCACATGTAGCTCTGCTGCCAACTGCTGCGGCATCTGCAGAGTTAGATGGTAACATACACACAGTTTATTCACAGCACTTGTATCTATGTACTGCTGCCTGCTCCACCCTCTGCAGGCGAGCTGGCATCGACCTTTGTGTGTGATGGGTTTGCTCTTTCTGCACGCCTCACCTCTTAATGACAAAATGAGAAAACTGGGTCGGAGATGTACATTCCCACCAGAAATAGTGGGAAGTTAACATCTTCAGCTGAGCACCAAGATTTCCAACTGGGAAATCATCTCTAAATAAATCAAATGAGTTTCACAAATAGGTGAGGAGCCTTTGGGAGACCCAGGTTTGCTCCTGGGAGGAATGAACAAGTCTGGATGATTAACTGAGAAATGAATGACCTGCTCATGTCTCTGCCAGAAACCTACTTGAGCAATCAAATGAGTCTAAATTAAATGATATTTGGTGTGTTGAGTCCTTTATAGAGACAGATGTTGTTTTTATGACTGTTTATTAACTCTTTTCAAGAAGCAAAATGTAAAACATTCTCATTTTTCACAACCCGAACTTCAGAGAACGGAATATTCTCATTTTGCTGTCTAGCAGACAATTTGTAAACATGTTTGGGAAAGGAGGGGGAAAAGGAAAAATTAAGTGCACATTGTCCATCAAACTGAATCAAAGTGAACCATTTGCAGCTTTTTTTTAGTGTTACATTTAGACATCATAAAAAATAATAATAATAATCCAGGAGATAAGAAAAAATGAAAAAAATGCAAGAAAAAATGTTCCAGCTTACCAGAGTTAGGGTCAGAGTTGCCGTCAGCTTCAGTCCTCTTATCAGGGGAGGCCTGCTCGTAGAAGTCGTCCTGCGCCTGCACCAGAGGGAGAGGTTGTGTGAGGAGAGAGCCACTGCCTACAGGCTCGTGGTCCCCCAGACCGCTGTCACTGCAGCTCTCCTGAGAGCCATCCGGCAGGTGAAACGTGACGCGCCGCTGTGACTAGAACCAAGAGCACAAAACAGAGCCTCTGATGTTAGTGCTCTGCTCTGCCCCCTCAAAAATGTTCCTTTTTACTTTACACTGAGCCCAACAGGCTCGCGCATGCTGCTTTACACACTGAGCACTAAAACTCAACTACAGTGTGAAAGAATTTTGTCTAATTGATGTAAAAAAAAGTTGTTTTAACAGATTTTTTTTTACATATTACATTTTCACAGTTTTCATATTAAAGGTCTAGTTTGACCTGTGCCAGATATTGTTGCTAAGGGGGAGTTTAGACATTGTAAAACAGTCACGTTTCACTGCACAATGACGACTAACAATGGCATGCAAATTCACATCATGCACTGAAATTACTCAAGGTGAAGCATAAAGTTACACATCTTTTGTAAAGGCACAGTGTAATGAATGTGTGGCGGAATGATGCACAACTCTAGTTTGTGGGTTCCTTTTCTTCCCCCTGGTGTTGGCTCATTGCTCTGCAAAGTTGTTTCTGAAGTGTCCTTCCCAAAGGAATTCCCTTATGTCCCAGCGCTCTTTGGACACACCTTAGTATTTCTGTACTTGCAAACATGCAAAAAACAAACAAGAAATGAATAACTAACAGAGGCACACCCCGCCATCCTCAAAGCCGCTCTGATTGAATTTCCGTTTGCTAATTCCCAGCGTCTTTTCCTCGTGCTCTAATGACATTTTCCTCAGGCTTTTTCATAAGTCCAGACAGAAGCCTCCAGCTAACCTTTTGTGAGAAGAGAGGTCCCTGCCATATCTTTGGTTGATGACAGACAGAGAAGGGTTTTACAGTAATTATTGGCAAAAGCAAAGGTCATTCAATCTGCAGCCTAATGCAAATGACCTCATTATATATTTTAGAACAGCACCAAAAGCATGCAGCATTCATTAAAAAAATACGGGGCGTGGAGAGACAAAAACTGAGAGGGATGGGGGATTTAGAGGGACTTTTAGAAGGATAGATGGATGGGAGGGATGGAATGGTAACTTTAACCGTGCCGTACATTATAATCATCACTGATAGCCAAGACTCCACAATCCAGTGTAATTTAAAAAAAAGTAAAGGTCTTGTATAACAGTAGAAATCTGGATAAATGTCACCGTTAGCAATTATAGTGAGGTAGATGAACAGATGTGGCATTTCAAATGAAGATGGCATTCCAAGGGATGGAAGGGGCTGAAGGTGTGTGTGTGTGTGTGTGTGTGTGTGTGTGTGTGTGTGTGTGTGTGTGTGTGCGTGCGTGCGTGCGTGCGTGTGCGTGCGTGCGTGCGTGTGTGTGTGTGTGTGTGTGTGTGTGTGTGTGTGAAGCATCCATACAGAATATGACTTTTTTTGTTTGTTTGTGCGCAGCTTATACTCATTAGCCAGAGCAGAACTATCAGTTTCACATGAGGTATGCTGTGCACATGTAAACCCAGTGAAAGGGAAAGGTGAGGGGATGCCTTAACGATGTCATGTTTAGTGTATCTCCAGTTAATTAGCTGTAGCTGCAAATGTTTCCCTTCCTGTTGATGCCAAAGACGTTGGCCTTAGGCGAGTTAGCCATCTATTTGTTGCCTTGAAAGTGTCAAAGTAGCAGTACTAATCCTGGCAGCTTCTCCACCACCTTGCGGTTAGAGTTCAGGCAACAAAGTCAATTAAAGTAGCATTTGCACTGATTTATGTCTCGAACTGCTGCAAAATTACATCAAAGCATCAAGATGAGAATGATCCCAGTTTTATTTACACCTAAACCAAATGAATGGGGGGAAAAGCATTCATTGTGTTAAGAGTTTCTTTTGCTCAAGGACAATAATATTTCTCCTTGAAATTGCATGATGCACCACTTTCTCAGGCTCACCTTACTAATACCAGGTAGGATCTGCATTTTTCCTTCAGAGCCTCTGCTTTGTGACATCCATTCACCCTGTAGTTGATGTGTGTTTTATCCCATCACACGCCACACGTGGTGACTGGAGGCTTTTAGAGTCTAGTGAAATTGTCAAATTAAAGAAATCTCGCTGAGATGTTTTAAAAATGGTCCATCATTCTGCTGGAAGTAGGGGTGTAAATCATTTGTTATATCACAGTATGATCTCATACCGATATGTGGATTGTGTTTCGATGTTTGCTGGTCTCTCAGATTCAATACCATTCCCATTTGGTTTGATATCAAGTCTCACTGCCTGCCAGGATGTGGCTTTTAAATTGAACACATTTAATTAAGTGTGGCAACAGGTGGAAAATGGCATGCCAATGGATCATCAAAATAAAGCTATTTCCATCCATCCATCCGTCCATTTTCATCCGCTTATCCGGAGTCGGGTCCTGGGGGCAGTAGCCTAAGTCAAGAGGCTCAGACTTCCCTCTCCCCAGCCACTTGGGCCAACTCCTCCGGGAAAATCCAAAGGCATTTCCTGGCCAGGTGAGAGACAAAGTCCCTCCAACGTGTCCTGGGTCTACCTTTTAGGCCTCCTCCCAGTTGGACCTGCCCGGAAAACCTCACCAGGGAGGCATCCTGACCAGAAGCCTGAGCCACCTCAACTGGCTCCTCTCGATGTGGAGGAGCAACAGGTCTACTCTGAGCCCCTCCCGGATGACCGAGCTTCTCACCCTATCTCTAACCCCAAAATTCCACTACCTCCACTCCGCTGCGCTCCGCTCCGGCATAAACTCCGCAGCAAAAACGGTCCTGTTGTAGTCAATCAGAGCTGTTCAACTACTGCGGCCGTGTGGCGCAGTGCCATTCCGCCATCCAGCAAAAATAGGATTGATTCTATTTTTGCCGGATGCCGGAGCACCTCCGCAGTTAATGGACAGAAATCACAACCGCCCAACAGGAAAGGGAGAAAGCACAACTTCCGTTATTTCACAATAAATCGATAAACAAAAAGTGTTTTTTGTTTCATATGCACAGGTTTAACAACTTTTAACAACTATCAATGGCGGTTGAACTTTAAATGCACAAAAATAAGCCATAAACACAGTTTCCACTATAAAAGTAGTCACACTTTGTTGATCCAAACACTGCTGATCTCTCAACACAAATGATGGGCAGATGAAACAGTTCATTTCGATGCTTCTCCCACGCAACGGGTGTTTGGATCTAATTTCCGCATTTATTGCTCGGACTGTATCGCAAGAGCTCGAAAATCCCGCGCATGCCTGTTTGCGTACCTCAGGTCTCCGCACCAGAGCGGAGCCGTTGTAGAGCGGGTACAGTATAATTTGAGTTCGGAAGCGACCGGCAGCGGAGGACGGGGGTGGAGAGGAGCGGAGATAGTGGAATTTTGGGGTAAGGGAGAGCCCAGCCACTCTTCGGAGAAAACTCATTTTCATCAAGCCATTTTCATAATAAAAGTGTTTTGATAAATAGTTTTTCTATTGAATGTTGCATCAATGATCATATGTAGAATGATGTAGATTGGTGTATTGTTACACTCCGAGCTGGAATGGTCACAGACGATATTCTGCGTGTCTTGTTTGTGATACTTTGAACTGTTGCCTTTCCTTTGTCTCATATCCAGTCTACCCATTCTCCTCTGACGTTAACAAGACATTCCCATAAACCCCGCTATTTTCTAGACCTTTCTTTGTAAACCACTGTATGACTTTTTCACGTTTTGGAGCCGATTGTTCTCTCGTGCAAGAAGATTGGGGCAAGTTTTGCACAGAGTGTCGTGTAGTATACAGGGAATTACGAAAGGCGATTAACACCACGTGACCAGCTAATGATCAGCAGTAGTAAGCTTGCACGGATTTCTGTTGTGTTTGATTTTTTGCTCATCACTCGTGAAGGTACTGCACTGTTGAAGCTGCGCTGCAAGCATCTGCAACCCAAAAAGTACCAGAACCACTCACAGTACCTGTGCAAACATGCGTCAACGCGGCTAACCAGCTATTTTCCTATTAACACATGTCGGTCGTCTTTATATACATTTTTTCGCACACAATGGCAAGGATTGTCAAGAAAGTGCATTTATGTCAAACTATACAGATAAAACTTTGATTTTCTTTCTTTCTTTCTTTCTTTCTTTCTTTCTTTCTTTCTTTCTTTCTTTCTTTCTTTCTTTCTTTCTTTCTTTCTTTCTTTCTTTCTTTCTTTCTTTCTTTCTTTCTTTCTTTCTTTCTTTCTTTCTTTCTTTCTTTCTTTCTTTCTTTCTTTCTTTCTTTCTTTCTTTCTTTCTTTCTTTCTTTCTTTCTTTCTTTCTTTCTTTCTTTCTTTCTTTCTTTTGTCTTCATCTTGCTACCTCCACAAATGCCTGTGTGTCCTACAGCACACCCCGGAGGACAACAGACATCAATAACAATGCTAAAAAAGTCTGGCATGTGAAAACTGCTAGTTTTCGCATATTTTTAGGTCCGACGTGTTGCTACCAGTTGTAGTGTGAGCAGTCAGGTCGCATCCCAGAACTGGGTTGTACAGAGTGGGCACATGACTTGTAAGATTTCCTCTGAGAGGAAGTTTGAACTGAAGCTGAACGCTATGAGTGAAAAAGTCGCACAGTGTCCGCCCAGCTTTAAAGATGGTCATGGGTTAAAAATCCCATTTCAAACTTCACAGACCAGCCTGCCTGCCGTTGTCAAAGCCTTTTGAATCTGGTTTCTTCTCTTATCATCCCTGGATTGAACTTCAGCCAGTCATCTTGTGTGGAGCTGCTGCCCTGTTTCAGTTAATAAACAACGAAAAAATTGAACTAAAAACTAAGTGAGTGTGGAAGGCAGTGGTATTTATGAAATATTGCTGATCTAGTGATCGAGTGAGGGTAGGAGGGATCGGGAGATCGACAGGCGGATTGGTTCAGCGTCTGCAGTGATGCGGACGCTGAACCAATCTGTCATGGTGAAGAGGGAGCTGAGTCAGAAAGCCAGGCTCTCGATTTACCGGTCGATCTACGTCCCAATCCTCACCTATGGTCATGAGCTTTGGGTAATGACTGAAAGAACGAGATCGCAGATACAAGCGGCCGAAATGAGTTTCCTCCGTAGGGTGGCCGGGATCAGCCTT